ACATAGAAAATAAAAACAAAAGCCCATAGAATGGAAGCATAGCAAAACAAATAGCAAAGCCTATTGAAATACAATCCCAAAAGAGCCCCAAAAAGGCAATTGAAATACAAATAATGGAAAAGAGTAATACTTTGACCTGTCTGCTTGATGGAGCAGCAAAGAAAGAGGAAGTGATTAGGTCATTACACCTCATGTACATCCTACTCTCTTGTGATTGGCTCTTTTTTTCTATGTGTTTCTTTGCTGCTGTGTGGAGATAGTAAAGAGAGATTATGCAAAATACAAAGTCTCCTGTCATGTTGTAAAATTAAGAAAATTCTCCCCTGATGGTAATCAAACAGTTGGGGAGGTTCTCTTCATTTTCTTTTAGCTTCCCTTAGGTAATGGAAGTGGCACCCATGTTCAGTTTTAGCTTCCCTGCTTTTTCCCACAATTTATCTTGATCCTCTCAGCACTCCGTGAAATCATGCCCACCTGAGTATATTCAGTCATATGTACCCTTGCACCTCTTCTTGTCCACAGAGTGTTTGGCAGCACTAAGTCCGATTAGAGAGCTGGCACTGTCACATAGTTGTGCACTGTTACATATGGCTTTCTGATTATTCACATCATATGCAGTATATTTATAGGTGTATTTCCACAGTATTTGGTTCATAGCTCATGCAAGAGGTGTCACCAATACAAGGAAAAAAAGGAGGAGCATCAAAAATCTATAGTTTTATTTTGCATATCTATTAAGTTTATAAAAATAGATTTATTTTTTACTGCCCCCCACCCCCCCCATCCCCTTCCTATTGGCCATTCTCACTTGATCTGTAAATAAAATCAACATTTAGTGGCTGCCTCCTAATCATTAATCATCTTTTTTTTCTTTAGTCATATTTTTCTTTTGGTACCACGGATGTTACTCTGAATCATGATACAAAATGATCCGTTCATTGCCCCGTTAGTTTTTTGCTTAATCTGTCCAAATAGGATTTTGGAGTTGCGTCCAAGCTCTCAAAATGTAAACAAACTACATTTAGTTTGAAAACGAAGTCTATTAATTTATTAATTTTCTTAATAAATTTAACACTTCCACTATATACATGTTTGAACAGCTATAACATAGCTGAATACAATCCATCTAGCTCAAAAAGGTGTATATGTAGATATTTTACATCCTGTATTTGTGCAAAATGATTGCTCAAGTGACTCTGATGACTTAATTTGAAACAGCAATCCCCACAATTATATAGGTAAAGTGACTTTGAACACCTGTAAGGGTTAATAGGCAACAACAAAAGGAGAATTATTTTTTAAACATGTCAAGCAGATATTTTTCAACTCTCATTATATTTTTTTCCTCACACTTTTGACCAGTAAAGAGACACAACACCTGAGCCCCTTTAACTTGTTCAAGTGCTTTCTGTGTGATGAGTGCGTTCTTTTTTTCGATTTACAAAAAGTGCATATTTCAACAGAATTTGGCATTTTTACAAATTTACCTTGAATTGAAAAAAAGACTAAAGACCATCAAATTCTACCTTGAAACACCTTATATTATGCTGCTGATCAAAATGAAGGCAGACCCTGTCAGTCTCTTCATTTACCTGTCAGAGCACTCTGATTGGATGGCTTAAATCAACCAAACAGAGTGCTCTGAGCCTGATTGCAGGTCGGGGCAAGGCTTTATAAGCTGTTCCCCAACCTGCGGAGCTCAGTCTGCACGGTGCCCTCCATGGGTGAAGATGGATTACTTTTTCAGCTTCTGGGTTTTTTTTGTCTGATTTTTTTTTTGTGTCATTTTTTTATTTTATTTTTTCAGAGTGCGACGGGTATTATGTTTTTTTATTTGGCCTTTTTTGGGGCTGAAAAAAGAAGATTTTAGAAAAAAGAAGACATCAAATGGTAAGTTGTATTTCTTTTTTTACAGGTACTTAGTTATTGTTCCCCCTCACTATTTTTAGGGTGAGGGGGGTAGGTAGGGGTTTATTAATTTTTTGGGGGAGGGTGGTGACAGTGGGCTTGGTCCCCCCCATATTGGTATTTAAGGCCCCCACCCGCCCTTATTCTAATTTAGGGCCCCCACCCACCGCTCAGGGGTGAGGGCTGAGGGGGAGGACAATAGGTCTCCCCCTTATTGGTATTTAGGGCACCCACCTTCCCCTACACAATGGGTTCCCCCCATTGTCATCCAAGGCCTCCACCCGCTGCTCAGGGTTTAAAAGCCCCCACTCGTGTGGCAAGGGTGGGGCCTCGGGAGTGGGGACACTTTTTTTTTAACAGTGAGCAGCCACATGCCCCTACTCGCTAGGCTATTAGTAAATTTGGCTGAAAGAGCAATTTAGGTCTTTCAGCCTTTTGGTAGATAGCTCCCTAATACCGTGGGAATTAGGGAGTTATCTGCTTACTCATTCCTCATTGACTGGCTAAGTAACTTACATTTTACGTGGACGTGTTACTTGAATCCTGGCTATGTGAGTATGCTTTTTAGGTAAACTGGTATACAGTGTAATATTCTTAATTCGCTTCAGGACTTTGGCAGTTCTCTTCGGTTCGGCAAATCCAAAATTCGCCACTTCGGCTATTCGGACATTCAGCGCTTCGGGACTTCGGCAGTCTCATCTGACACTTGCCTACCAAGTCTTCCAAATCACTCTGTAGAAAAGGTATTTCATATTCAGACTGTATTATTTTACCTGGTTTTGTCATCTGCAAATGCCAACAAATTACTTTCAATGACTACTTCAAGATTATTTATAAACAAATTAAAGATAAGTGGACCCAGGACAGAACCCTGAGGCACTCCACCTACCTCTTTTGTTGATTTTCCATTTACAAATACTTTCTGCACCCTATCTTTAACACAGTGTTTTATTCAAGAACATGATTTTTCTTCTTAACCAACTGATTTCAATTTTAATATTAACGTTTTGTGTTGAACTGTATCGTATGTTTTAGCAAAATCCAAGAAGATCACAACTACTGCATCACCCTAATATATATTTCTACTAACGTCTTCATAGAATGCAATTAAGGTAGTGTCACGTATCCATCCTCTCCATATAAAGATTACAATAGCAATTAACTTTCTAAAAATAATAAAAATGCCACTCAGCAGTCCTACGCCATAATGCCTGGCTTTTGCAACATGTCGGTGGCCGCTGGCCGCTGTGGATCCATGCCATATAATAGCCCCATGTCCGCCCATGGTAATGATGACATCGACGTGCGTGTGACATTACGCAAAAGACGCGCACACATGTTTTGGGGTCAAAAGTCAGGTATGGCCAATCGGATCTGCAGGATGGTTATTTAAACTCATTATTCATTCTACTCATTGCCCTGTCATCAGGGCCGGCGCTTCCTATAACTAGAAGTGGGATGAGGGGCGCCCCGCGCCCCCATCGCCATTTACTAGAATGCCTGAGCCAGCCTATAAAGATACCAGGCGGCTGTTATAATTACTCTGCCCTAGTCGAAGCTTCGTCCATGACTGGCTGGACTGACAGGAAGTGCACACCTCCTGTCAGGTCCCAAGGTCGCTGGACCGGATAGGAGCTCCGGCCATGCCAAGCAGGGCAGGAGTGTGAGGAGAAGCTAATAGGAGGTAGGAGGGGGGGAGATGATTGATGGGAGGCAGGGGAGGGAGGGGAGATGATTGATGGGAGGAGATGATTGGGAGGAGGGAGATGATTGATGGGAGGGAGGGGAGATGGATTGATGGAGGGAGGGATGATTGATGGGAGGGAGGGGGGGAGATGATTGATGGGAGGGAGGGGAGATGATTGATGGGAGGGAGGGGAGATAATTGATGGAGGGGAGGGAGATGATTGATGGAGGAGGAGATGATTGATGGAGGGAGGGGAGATGATTGATGGAGGGAGATGATGGATGGGAGGGAGATGATGGATGTGGGAGGGAGATGATTGATGGAGGGGGGAGATGATTGATGGAGTGGGGGGAGATGACGATGGGAGGGGGGGAGATGATTGATGGAGGGGGGGAGATACTGATGGAGGGGGGAGATGATTGATGGAGGGGAGATGATTGATGGGAGGGGGGGAGATGACTGATGGGAGGGGGGAGATGACTGGATGGGAGGGGGGGGAGATGATCGATGGGAGTGGGGGAGATGATTGATGGAGGTGAGATGTGACTGATGGGAGGGGGGAGACGGATCGATGGAGGGGGAGACAGATCGATGGGAGGGGGGGATGATTGATGGAGGGGGAGATGATTGATGGAGGGGAGATGATTGATGGGAGGGGGGGAGATGGATTGATGTGGGAGGGGGGGGGAGAGATGATTGATGGGAGTGGGGGGGAGAGATGATTGATGGGAGGGGGGGAGATGATTGATGGGAGGGGGGGAGATGATTGATGGAGGGGGGGAGAGGACGGATGGGAGGGGGGGGGGAGAGATGACTGATGGAGGGGGAGAGATGATCGATGGGAGGGGGGGGGAGAGATGATTGATGGGAGGGGGGAGGGATGATTGATGAGGGGGGAGAGATGATCGATGGGAGGGGGGAGAGATGATTGATGGAGGGGGGAGAGATGATTGATGGAGGGGGGGATGATTGATGGAGGGGGAGATGATTGATGGGAGTGGGGGGGAGATAAGGATTGATGGGAGGGGGGGAGATGATTGATGGAGGGGGAGATGATTGATGGAGGGAGGGGGGGGAGATGATGGGAGGGGAGGGGGGAGATACTGATGGAGGAGGGGGGGGATGATTGATGGAGGAGGGGGAGATGATTGATATGGGGGAGATAACGATCACCATCTCCCCCATCACCATCCCATCTCCCCCATCATCCACCCCTCCCCATCACTAGAGTCTCCCCTCCCCATCATCTCCTCCCATAAATCATATCCCACTCCCCCCTGCCATCAATTATCTCCCCCTGCCATCAATCATATCCTACTCCCCCCCATCAATTATCTCCCTCCCTCCCATCAATTATCTCCCCCCTCCCATCAATCATCTCCCCCCCTCCCTCCCATCAATCATCTCCCCCCCTCCCTCCCATCAATCATCTCCCCCCCCTCCCTCCCATCAATCATCTGAGATCTCAGATGATTGATGGGAGGGAGGGGGGGGAGATGATTGATGGGAGGGAGGGGGTAGGAGTGGAGAAGATTAGGGGGGAGAAGAAGAGAAGATTACGGGGGAGAAGAAGCGATTACAGGGAGGGAAGGGGGGAGAAGAAGAGAAAATTACAGGGGGGGAGGGGAGAAGATTAGAGAGGGGGGAGAAGAAGAGAAGATTACAGTGGGGGAGAAGAAGAGTAGAACACGGGGTAGTGGGAGATGAGAACGTAGGGAGGGAGAGAGACCACTCAAAGGAGGGAGGGGCGTGTGGAGAGACCACTAGGGAGGGGTGTGAGGAGAGATCAGCCAAGGGAGTGGGGTGAGGATAGACCACTAGGGAGGGTAGGAGATGAGAGACCACACTAATGGAAAGTCGGGGAGAAAAGGAGACCACTAAGGGGAGGTGGGGGGAGAGGAAAGACCACCAGGCAGGAGACTTAAGGAATGGAAGGAGAGCTCTATAGACAGGGGCAGGACTAGGAGCTCTTTCACACCACGCACACACACACACACACACACACACACAATGCATCCCTATACACACAGAAACACAACATGCTTCCCTTACACACAGAGAAACACACAATGCAACCCTTACACATAAAGACAATGCATCCTTTGCACATATACACAGAAATACACAATGCATCCCTTACACACACATGTAAACACACACTGCTTCTCTTACACACACAGAAACACAACGCATCTCTTACACACACTCAACGCACCCCTTACAGACACACACTGCATCCCTTACATACACAGAAACACACAATACATCCCTTATACACAAACACTCACTGCTTTCTATCCCTTACACAAAAACACACTGCTTCCACTACACACAAACACACTGCATCACCTACACAAACTGGTATCCCTATACACTACATTCCGTAAGCACACACATTAGATCCTCTACAGTAACACATAACACATCCCCTACACACTCTACTCCCTGTGAGCGGACTCATGGGTGGAACATGTAGGTGGACTTATGGGTGGGTTTTATGGGCATACTCACCGTCAGGCCCTGGGGCCCAGACCTTGAGCTATGTAAGAGGCCCCAAAAATGGAGCTGCTTCCTGTTCTCCCAGAACATTGAATTTTGTGACCACAGTTACAAACAGCCTCCAGAGATCCTGTTCTACACCAGACCAGTGGAGCCAGACTGCAGCCAGAGCCCATCACCATCCTCATCTGATTGTAAGTAGGCAATTTAGTATATTATTAGTGACACTAATCTCTAATTTATCTCACATTAAATGGACACTATAGTCCCCAGAACCACTGCAGCTTAATAAAGTTGTTCTGGTGTCTATAGTTTGTCCCTGCAGGCTTTTTAATGTAAACACACACTGTGTGCAGCACTGGCACTAGTTCATATGGCAGATCATATGGGTGGGGCATTGCGAGGCCCCGGCGGGGGGGGGGGGAGGGCGGCAAATCTTTCTTTTGCCTAGGGCGGCAAAAATCCTTGCACCGGCCCTGCCTGTCATGGTTTCCCTTTGCTGGTTATCCGAGAATATTTCTGCGTGCTGGATCAACTAGTAATCCTGACAGGTAGTTTGGCATGACTTGTCTTTCATAAAACCATGTTGATTTTTGCTAATGATATTATTGTTCAAATTTAATTCTTGAAAATTATCCCTTAACAGTCCTTTAAATAACTTCCCAGCAGCTCACAGGTCTGTATTTTCCGGGTTAAATTTTTGTACCCTATTAAATACATAGGCACCATCATCTTCTATCATCTAGTACAACTCCATGAAAGAAAATAATGGTTATTTCTTCACTAAGCTCTCTACGTACATGTGGGTGAATACAATCTGGCCTTGGGGATTGGTTTATGTTAGCTTTATATAATTTCTTTAGAACTTTGTTCTGTGTTAATCGATTACCTGTTTGCTGTAAGGCTTTTGTAACAGGGATTTGCAAACCTACAGCCATAGATTCTTCTTCCATATATACTGAAGAAAAACAAATATTCTGAGTTTCTGCCTTGTCCTGATCTTACTTGATTAACTCACCCATCTCAGATTCCAATAGACCAAGAGTTTCATTTTTAACCTTTTTGGTATTAACGTACTTGAAACAAACTTTTTGGGGTTGTTCTTGTTCTGTTATAAGCTTTTCATTTTCAAGTTTTGCCCTTCTAATCGTCTTTTGCAAGCCCTATTGGCATACTTATATTTGTTATAGGATCAACACCGTGGATTTAAAATGTTTTGAAATCTTTTTTTTTTTCTAAGCCACATTGGTTTTAATTTGCTTTTTTTATATTTGTTTCCCAAATATACTTCTGTAGAAATTGTTTAAAGACCTTTCATTTATTCTCTGTGCTTTTGACGGTGATTATTTCCTGCCAGTCAATCAGTTGTAAAGATGCCCTTGTCCTATTGAATTTAGTTCTTTTTAAAAGTGTTTTTGTACATCCCATATATATTTGTGTTTTAAAAAAAAAAAAAATTATAATCTCAAATGATACCATATTATGGTGACTATTTGCCAAGTGCTTGAATGTATCATTTATCAGGTTCAAAAACGTAATTCCCTTAACTGTGCTACTAGTCCTTCTGGCCCAATCAATGTCTGGATAATTAAAGATTAACATATTACCCAGTTGTTCAGTCTTATTAATTTGAGATAACAGTTGCTCTTCCTCATCAGTATTAATGTTTGAGGGCTTATAACATATTCCTACTATTAATAGATATCCCCTGTTTTCTCATGTACATATTTTTTTCTCTAAGGCTTCCACATCCTCACCTGTATCATCACATATAATTTCTTTAATACGTGGCTTGAATTTATGTCTTATATAAAGACATACACACCTCCTTTTTTAGTTTCTCTATCCTATCTAAATAATGCATATCCATTTAATTAATAGCACAATCAAGTGTTTCATCCCACCAAGTCCGAGTAATCCCAATTAAGTCTTACTACTCCTTATATGCCAATATCTCAAGCTATTATACTAACCTGGATGTCAATCAGACAACCAGTTCTTCCTGATTGTTTAGCTCAGTGAAGTAAACCTCAAGAGGCAGCAATTGCTCCGAGCACCTTCCTTGCAAACCATAGAACGTCACACAAGAGGTCTGCAGCTTTTGCAAGATGTGTTATATATACCCCCCCCCCAATCTACAAGTGCATAATTTAATGCATGCATGTTTTAATTGCAGGTATAACTATTAAACAGCATATTTTAAAATAAAATTTGGGCAGTGTGCCATTTTAAGATCTGATTTGATTTCTCACATTTATACTATATCTTTGTATTCTTTCCTTTAATTGCCAAAGCAGCATCACATGTTACTCATTGACGGTTGGAGCTAGTTTCAGAAAAGCCACCCCATTCAGATATTTGATGAACTGTGTCCTGTTAGTAGCTTCAACCATATGGAACACAAGAATGTAGTCAAGGTAACTTCCTCCCATACCTTTTTGTAAAGTATATTGGTTATGAACCTGCATATAACATTGTAGTCATTGGTGTACCGAAATTATGCTGCTAGTGTGTTTATATAGGTTGGTGGCTTTAAGTCACAAATGATAAGCTTAAGGGAGGCGGGGCCTAACCATCATGGCTGACGGTTGTGTTTCATGAGAGCTCCTCACATAATTTGAGAAATCTAAACCTTTCAAGTGAAGTGGCACCCCACAGACCTACCCAACCAACTACTAACCTGACTCTGACTGTTGTGGATCCTCATTTTAGACCAGTCCACACTCAATCAGCTTAAACAGCAGAGCCCTATCCAGCTGGGTACTCGCCAAGTCTGATGACCTCGTGGCTGGGAGAAACGGCGTATCTCCCGGTACTGGGCTTGCACCTCATGGCGAGTTGCCCAAAGCCCTGTCACCCCTCTCTGGAGCGGTGGAGGATATCCCGGTCCCCACTGTGTCCCCAACGATACTCAGCCTAGCTACTGGTGGAGAGCTGCACCCTGTGACTGATTCTGCAGGGTCGCATACCCATTGCCTTCCGACTAAGATGGCCGCCGCACAGACATCTGACCTTCGAGCCTTCCACGAAGACCGTATCAAGAGGACCTTTGAGCAACTGTGGTCCAAGTTCTGTCCAAAGTCACAGCAAGGGTGCAGACACGAGAAGCATCTCAGCAGTCATCATTTAGCCATACCATGCCTCCCCAGGCACAGGGAACCATGTATCCAGCGACGACTACAGCGTGAATCTTGAATCTTCGTCTAGACAGATCTGATCTGTGAGAACCATGCAGGATGGCAACAGAGCCTTGGACCTGCGTACTAGTTCCCTGGAGGCTTCCACAATCATGGGGCGAGTTGCACTGGATGGTGGGCATAGGCTGAGCGGCCTTCTAAACATGGGGCCCAGTCCTTTACCTCCCTTAGGTCTTGAGACTCACACAGGGCATTGTTTACTATATCCCTGCACTACTACCCACCCAATTTAAGCTATTAGTTTTCAGTTAAAATTGTTTTCTGGACCATACATTTGTGCGGTGCAATATCCACATTGTAAAAGCAGGACACAGTGGTCTATATAGCACTGTTCCTTACTTAGCATGCTTATAAATGCCTGAGACCCGCCATACCTACCATATGATTACTCTGCCTTGTCTTTGCATCTTTAGTGACTGTATATGTTCCTATCGTACTTATACACATGTATGCCCAGCTTGATCTCTCCTGTCATATGTTATACTCTCCTGAAGCTGAATAATATTGTACGTGCCTGACTAGGCTCATATGTGTTTAGTTATAGCATACACTATTTACTTTAGACATGCTAGTTTCCTATGTGTCTATATCTTGTTTTATACCATCAAGAGTGCAGGTTTTTAGCATGATTCTTATTACCCTCATGGGTTAGTGAAGTCTCTCGTGCCTTACACACCTTTTCCACACATAAGTTATAACGTTATATCTTGATAAAACATGAGTACTAGTCCTGATCATGCAGCCTGTCATTACTAATCTTGTTAACTTTTATCTTGACAACGCTTCTACAAAATGTGCAGTTATTGTAAATGCCACAACTTGTC